CCCCAAAACCCCAAAACCCCAAAACCCCATCTTGGTGAATTAATGGCTTAAGAATCATGTTTGGATAATTTTGAACGCCTAAATGAATTAAATTTAGAGTAAATGATTGTTTCAATCTTATAGTTAAAATTAGATTAAATGATTGAGGTCATTCAACTTCAAAGTTTAAGGTATCCTTCAAACAACAGACCTACTACTGTTTCATCAATTTTCATCTTTTCATGATATTTTCCTATAGGTATTCTATATTAAAATATAAACTTACTGAAAATCTCTGTTCCATCTTTCCCAGCAGCTCTGAGAATCTTTTTGCCGCCAGGATGCATGTGGACGAAGGGGGCAATGTTATATATTTTCCCATCAATAGCTGTCCAGCAATTATTTTCCTTGCTGTGCTCTTCCAAATCAGCCATAGTATATTCCCTGGGCACTTCGAGTTTAGCCTTCAAGTGAGATTCGTAAAACTATAAAAGTAAGGTAAATAAGCTGTTTATGTCCTAAAAACATAACAAGAAAAGTTAAAATTGACAAATTTTAATGTCATTTCCCTAAGATACAAAAGCTTAAACCCTTATTAAAAGGTGTAAATTACTGACCGGAATTCAAGCAACGGATTTACGATTCTCACAGGATTAAAATAATACTTACCTGAGTAAACATTTCTTTCTTTTGCTTTTTGTTAGCTACTTTTTGCTCGAGTGTTTCATCATCTTCTTCAAACTCTTAGATTACAATCTTTGGAGTCGATCTCGATCTCTGATACTCCAATAATTCCAAATCATCTTCTAAATCATCTAGCATTTCCTCGTCCTGCAATTCTTCATTATTAGATTGCATCAAATTAAGTTTCAGCCCCTCAAAACCGTGGTCGCTATTTGGGCTTTATGCAGTTGAATCACTAAACGACAGTTTTCCTGTAGAATCCATAGATCACACCTTTTTATTTAATTTATTAATATTTTATGCAAAATCATTTTCGTCTTGACTAGATTAAATGATTCTCTTGACGGGGTTTTGGGGTTTTGGGGTTTTGGGG